AGGCTTATAAGGCTTTAGCATTTGAAGAGGAGAGGGTTCCTGCACTACATGCTGGGCAGTGAATTATTTTGTTAACACCTATCAGAAGTAACTCCCCAAAGCCAGTTAGTGACTGTCGAGTTTCCTTTTCTGCTCCATCCTGTTCATGGTCAAACCACCTTTATGAGGTTATGTTGTTCACCTTCACCTCAAAAGCAAGGCCAAACTCTGCTTGGCTAGGAGGGAAAGGTCTTCAACAAACTTCCCTTGCAAACCTTCCCCAAGTTTGCAAAACCTGGAGATAAATGGCATTTGTGGGGCAGGAAAACAACTTGTTTTCTCAAGGGTTTTTCCACGGTGACCCGCACGGTTTTTCTCCTCTAAACCTGCCTGCTCTGCAGGGCAGGTCACTGCACCTCAGGTTGGTTCATGTGAAATTAATGAAATCGCAGCGTAATATTTTCCATACCTCGCGTTGTGTCCTTGCTGCAGAGAGCTACATGCTGCTTGTAAAAGATTTGCTTCATCTGTTTAAAGGGGAGAAGTGGGGGTGGAGGGAGAGTCCCTTTCACTACCTGATTTATTTGCCAAATATAAAACTAAAATGAAACATGTGGCTGATTGCCTACAAAGTTTTATGTCAGGTGTAGAAGTCAGTGGCCCTGGCCATAAATCATGCTGCTCATTTGTAACCATTGCAACAGATTTATGCGATTTATAACTGGGTTGTTGGGCTATGTCATCAGTGTAAGCATTTTCTTATTAATAAAAGGACTTCTAAATTGAATGATGGTTTGTAAAGCAATTGCCTATAATTTTATTTTATTTTATTTTATTTTTGGAAGGGGGAGACACCTTATTGTTTGTGACCTGTTAAAACAAAATGGTTGTGAAAGTCCTGGGCCCCTCCCTGAGCTCTCACTGCTTTATTTCTTCTCTGGGGACTTGCAAAACAAGCTCCTTATTCATAAATGTGAGATGATGCTGTAAGGATGATGTTTCCGTTGGTGATTCATGTGATTTACTCAGTATGCTTGATTCATCCGTGAAGAAAAACAACCTCTGGCTGAGGGACAGATGCTTATGAGGACTTGACATTTGATTTTAACTGGGTTGTACAGGGTTATAAACAGGGATGGTAGAAAAACTTTCCCTGAAGTAGGGAAACAAACAAAAAATAAATAAATAAAAAATACCTATGGTATGTATTTGCAAAGCAAAGGGAGCATTTCTGTAAGGTTTTGGTTGGACCCTGACTTTTGGAATTCCTCTTCTTAAGGTTTCCATCATGTTGCAGAGTGCCAAACCGATGTCCCTTCTGAAAGATAAGGGATTGCACTGTGCAGATGGGTGAAGAGCCTTGCATGCACTTATTTTAGGATGCCTTCAGGTGAAAGGCTCTAAGTCAGCTAATCCTGCTCATAAACTGCCCATTTGCACGTGAACTTCCTAGTTCATGTTTGTGGCAGGTAACTTCAAAGTCCCAGCCCCGAGCACCCAGGATTTTAACTCAGCCTTGGTTCCAATTTACACTCAAATCTCACAATCTGTGGGTCCCTCTAATTGTTGTTTTCATAAAAAACAAAACAAAAAAAACCAACAAATATGTATAATATCAAGAAGTCTTTTAATTTTTTCATAGAAAAGTGCTTTAAAAAAAAATCATGTAAGTCTCCTAATAAAAATGATTACAAAGACCTGGATCTACTGTGACTTGTAACCCTATTTTATAGAAACCTTTAAGAAAATGTCTCCCAAAGTTTATATTTGAATGTTATTTATTTTTATTTGTAAGAAATGAGAGAGGCCCTGCCCGCTGGGCCTCTGTCAGGTCATTAAAACCAAAACCAGAGTCAGGTTTCATTGTAGCAGCAGCTAGACCTGTACAGCAACGCAGAAGAAAACAAACCTCTGCTCTTCATGGGATGAGTTTCCATGTGAAGGCTAAAAATACCCGAGAACATTTAGTAAAACTGGTCAAAAGCTGCAATAATTTTTCAGCAGAAATGTTAAAATTGTTTTAATCATTTTAATTTAACATGTGCAAGTGGTTTGTTTGCCTTGCAAAAGGGAATACACAGAGGGCTGTGGTCTCTCCAGCTATATCTGTACTAGGGAATGAAATGTGCCCAGGGACATTTCTGAGCACTGAGGCCAACTGGCAGGTGACGGACCTTAGCAAACATCTTCATGGCCAGCCAGGTGGCTGCATCGAAAGCACTGAAGGGAAATAAGCCCTGGATGGCTCCGACCCCACACGGAGCCTGGGGATGGCTTGCAGAAATTTCTAATCGGGCTGGGCCAAATTCAAAGCAAGGGAGGATCTAACATTTTCCTCACATGGGCCTCTCCTGAAGGGATCAGCAGAAACACAACCTTCCCATGGGATGCTCAGGAGGTGCCAGCAACAACAGAGGCCCCTTCCAGGGTGCTTTATTTCAAGGTGCAGCCAAATCTGCTTGTAATTTATGGAAGTTGTATGTAAGGTCTGTGGCCATGCAATGTTTTCTGGGGATGACCCCTTTCTTTGTATGACACACTGCTATGCTGGCTTTGCTGCTCCATCTACCTCAACTGAAGTGGAAGAAAAACACAAGCCAAAAACCTTCACAGCCTTTTTTAGGTCCAGATGTTTAGTGCACTGATGGCTGGGGCCACGGAGCGTTGATGGTGGTGATGGTATTTTTTCCTTGATGTCTGAAATTAAACAAGATTTTAAATAATAAATCTGCCCCGAGGTACCCCTTCTTCAGCTTGGCAATGGCCACAGCCAGAGTGCTGATCCTCACCCACGTACCCTCAGTGCCAGAGCTCAGGCCGTTGTGCTCATTCCCTCTCTTGGCCTCTCTCAGGAGCCTCTGATGGAGCAAACTGTTTATCAGCCCCTTATTAGACCCGAATCCTGAGGGATGCTGGAGGAGATGGACCTCAGGAAAGATTTTTGAAACCAAGACTTGACAAGAACAAAATGCTGACTGACCCAGTTATGAGATCTTCTCTCATGTAGATCTTCTCTGCAGGTCTGACTGTTAGCCATTGCTCCACAGTAGGAGTCCTGTGTCCTGATTCTCACTGGAAAAAACACCCCTCTCCATCCCAGACACAGGCATTGGACCTATTACTGCAGCAGGGCTTAAGGCCTGGCCTCTGCTCAGCCTGCCCTGGGGTCCAGCACCCCAGGGAATAAATTCCACCAGGGATTTAACATAGGAGCCCAGTCCCTTCCTTTTATGCCATTAATTTACTGTTCTGTCATTTCCACCTCCAGCTGAAAACACCCCCAAAAGTTTGGACCCTAAAGAGAAAATAAATTGCATCTTTCTTGCAGCTAAGCTCTTAGATACCTTAGAAAATCCCACTAAAATACTAATTCTGATGCAAAATTCAAGCAGGAAGGCTTTAGAATGACAACCTGTATATAAACAGGACTTTTTTGGCTCAAATTTTGTTTTGGAATGCCAATTTTCTGGTTTGCCTGGATGCTGATGTTTGTTACACTTAGAAATAAAATAAAAGATAAAAAACTCCCCGCTATTTCAAGGGATATTTCAAGATAAATTAATGAAATTAATTGATTAATTAATTAATTAAATGAAATTAATAATTTCCATTTGATATTTGGTTTAATGAGTTACTTACTGATGATATCGGTATCCCTCATCCTTGGAGGGGCAGAGACTATGTCCTCTAATACATTTTGCCTGACATTTTAGTTGTCAGGGGATCAGGTTTGTGGCAGCAGCTCCTCTTCAGTTCCGTAATTTCTCTTTTGTTCGTGCTCCATACCCCTGCCTGCCTTCTAGTAAACATATTTCCACCCACTTACAAGCCCCATAAACCAGTTGTTCCTGAAACAGGATGGTGCTGCTGCTGGGAGGCTCCTCAAAACAGAGGTGCTGGTTGTTTTGTGAGTCAGTGGCTGGTTTTACATTCCTCTGCAATCCTGACCAGGGCTGAGATGTGGTACCTGCACAAGGGTTTTGTGGGATGCCTGCAACTGGTGTTGCAATGACTGGAGAGGAGAAGCAGGTAGCTTTGGAGCCAGATCCAGCCCATGTGCTTAAATTCATCTAAAGCAAAGAGGATCAAAAAACACAGAGGTTGAAGTCAAGCAGATGCTAAAGTGTTTTGTTGCATCTGGGGTGGAGAGAGGAGAAACAAGAGCTGGTTGAGATGATACAGAGAGAAATGAGATCCTAATGCTCCTGAGAGTTACAGTTTTTGCAATGAGCAAGGACAGGAAGATAGTTTGGCCAGGTAAAAGGCATGAGGACTCTGATATCCATGCTGCTCTGGAGGTGGGTTGGGTGAGATCTGCTAGAGCCAAGAACTTGAAGCAAATATCTGTCATTCATGAATTTCAACTCCATTTGAACTGCAGCTGCCTTCCCTGGCCAGGCACTATTTTTAAAAACAACTTCTGCATTTTCTTCTGTGCTTCATTGTTTGTCAAATATCCTTGGAAACTTGTTAAAAAAAAAAAAAAAAAAAAAAGTAAAGAAAAAAGAAGCATCAAAAGCATCCTTAACGTATTTTTCCTCATCCATTTGGCAAACTTTGCTTTTCCGCCCCACTGCTTCCTACAGGGCTGCAGCCAGCATGGCTTTCCAGCCTGTTGATTTCCTTGTGCCATAATTTTTAGCATTGTCCATAAATATCAGCCCTGCTCTGGGGATTTGGGGCAATTCATCCTGCCCTCTGTTGCTGGCTGCAAGAGCAGAGTGAATTCATGGCCAGATGAGGACCAGCATCCCACAGGCAGCCTCTTTGCTGGTTGTAGCTGCCTTGATTGTGGTCATAACAAATGCTGGGTGTTGAGTGTCATCAGTTCTGAGTGCTTATTGCTACAAAAGCCTTTGGGATCTTCTTGGGGCTTGGCAGAAATAACTTCTGAGCCAGGATCAATATGAACAGGTGAGGATTTGTGCTGATGAGGAGGTGCACAGGTGCCTGCCAGGGGGGAAGAGGTCAGAGGTCTCTATCACATGGATATCACAGAGAGCAGTTATATAGGAGAAAGGACAAGGGAGGCTGCTGAGGTCTTTGGTATTCATGGCCAGGTGTTTACTGTGGCTTTGCTCTTTGCGTTAGCAGAGTACCATCATTTTAAATGATTTTTCACAGGTAGAAGACCTGAGTGATTTCAAAAAAAGTATTTAACTTCTTGTGGTATCTTCAGGAGCATCGGTATGTGGGTCTTCACTGCAGAATATTGGGCCCAAAATATGTGTACAGGTTGATAAGGCTGCAGTATGCAGACTTTAGCACTCTCCAAAGAGAGGAATCATAAATCCTGGCTCCTTTCCGTGCCCCTTGCCTCCAGTTTCTGCCTCCTGGCACATGGCCATTTTTAATGATAAAACAACACGTAAGTACCCAGGTTATTTAAACAAACTTCCGATTTCCTCTTTTCTAAAAATGTTGATCCCAAAGAATTCTAGAAAATCAGGCTGTACGGTAATTTTTTTTTTTTTTTTTTTTTTTTTTAGGAATTGCCTTTCTTCTTCCTTTGTACTGCAGCAAAAGAAAACATAGATAAAGCAGCATTGTTCTTCTGTCTGATGATGGACCATGTGGTGAAGGACAAAGCTCCAGTTTCCATGGCATCCTAAAAACTTGTAAGTTAATCATAAATACCCTGGGGTCTCCTAACAACTTTTCATTCAAACTCTGAATAGCCAAGGACCATTTTTCATTTACCAATTCACGCAGTCTTTCTGAACCTCAATGCCGTGATGGCCTACTCCAAAATGTTGCCTCCTGTGGCCTTTATACTGCTTCCAAATATATGAGTCTGCCATGCAGGGAAGGTCCACACCAAAGACACCCCTAAGAAGCCCCAAATCCCCACTTTCTGTAGTTGTCACCCTCAGGACATGCCAGGAGTGGGGAAAAGTGGAGAGCTCATGGATCTTGATGATGTTCAGGCGTGAGGTCTCTCTCCACCGGGTGGGCTGGGGAGGAGTGGGGCAGAGGAGAGATGCTCTGTAGGCAGATGTCAGCAAAACACGTGGAGGGGGGAAGGCAACCTCAACCCCAAAGGCTATTGAACTAGTAACATAATGAAGTGATAATTTATGGCCCAGTTCTCCTCTACCTTGCACCTTGTGTGGTCCTCTGCTGCCAGACCCTCTTTGAGCCGAGTTCCCCACGCTCGCTGTTAACAGCTTCCCAGTGTGTGGGAGCACAGATTTATTGGGGGGAAATTGCCTTTCAACTGCCCGCCTGGCATCCGCTCCTGGTCCTCCAAGGCTTTGGAGCAGGGCTGCTCCAGAGAGATGGGTCCAGTATCAGTTTCAGTTTTAAATATTTTATTGGAGCGGTTAAATAAACTAACCTAAAACCAAGAAAACATCTCTGAGGCTAAGACTTTCATTAATAAAATAGTGAACTAGCCCAACAATAGAATACTTGAACTATCAAATGAACCAGCTGGACCAAGGTTGTTCGAGTGCTGGGCTGAAGCCGAAACATTGGTTTTGCTAAAAGCACAGCCAACTGTTTCTACATGTTAAGAGGGAGTCTAAGGAGCTCAGGAATTGTAAATTGCTTGTCAGGAATGTCACCACTGTCGTTCATATCCATGTATAAAAATCTGACTATATACCTTAAATATGCCCTGCCTGAGACACAAGTTAAGAACCATTTACTTACACCTCAGCTATCATGCTCTGTTTCGACTCACTTTGCTGTTTCTCCCAACAGAGCTATCATACTTCAGATATTGATGGGCCCTTGTATGACAGATGGATGGTTCAGAACCTTTATTTATTGGGATTTCAATGACAGCTCAAAATCTGGAGACTTCTAAACACAGATGTTTCTCTGGGTGTCTTCGTTGGCTTTATTTGGAGTTTTTGCACCTGGAGGACTTTTCTATCTGACCTTGGTATCTTTATGACTGTCCTCATCCTCTCAAGCTCCTAACCTCTTTCAGACATTCTATAACTAAATGGGATCAGAGGGCGATCTGGGCAGAAAAGCTAGAAACATGGAAAAAAGCTTGCTAAAAATGCCAAAACCTCACAGACTTGTTCTCTGTTGCTGTCTTCATCACTCCTCCTCCTCTCCCAGTGGTGTGTCTGGAGCTGGTGACAAACAGGTGATTGCAGTGATGGCAACGTTTTGCTACCTGAGAGCTCCTCACTGTTAGGCCATTTAGGACATAACATGTCCCTAAGGAGAGGTGTCCACAGCAGCAGTCTTCCCTCAGTCACATTGGCTCATAAGGTGAAATTTCTTAGCAATGCATGGGCTTCAAATCTGTGATTTCTATTTTCTATGTCATTCAGCACGTGTAGCTGAGGTTTTGGGGCATATCTAGTATCTGGAGCCATTCAGCTTAGTGCAGTCAAATCTGAATTAGATCACCCATGGTCATCGCCAAGTAGGAAAAGTTCCGCACAGGCCAAGAATTTCTAAAACATTAGCATTTTGCATAGCAGAAATTACTGCTAGGTTTTCCTCCTGGTAAATAAACATATAAACAATGAAACACAATATCTTGGGACATCAGGTCACTTCAGAGTAACTTTCCATGGTCTTATTTGAGTTTCTAGTTTTCTGAGAAGTTATTATAACCTTCCCTATGCACGATGAATAGGAAAGTCCCAGCCCAGGTGAATCAGCTGCCTGAACACCCATCTGTCAGCAAAATCAAAATAAATTTACACTTGTAGGGAAACTCATCATAATCCTTATGTCCTTTGCCACAGAAAGCTGACACAAAGCCTGATTCTTCAAGATTACAGGATGTTTATAATAACCTCCCTGTTTCTGGGCAGGCAGCTTTTTTTTTTTTTCTTTTTTTCTTTTTTTTCTCAGTAATATACATCTCAATGGCTAAATGCTGCTTTAAGCATGATCAAGACGAGGCTTAATGGAAATGTAACCTTTAAAATGACCAAGTATGGGGAACAATACATGTCCAAAGAAGATGAAAGTTCTAAAAGTGAGCTGTCAGATGAGGCCCTTAATCAGGATCTTAATTAGGAACCTTAATAATTTAGGGTCCCTGTGCAGCTTGTCTGCTTCTCTGCAGGGAGACACTTAGTAGGAGGAGGAAAAAATTCAAAGGATGTCCTGCCACAGGGCAATCTGTACTCAGATTACATGATGGCATTGCTGCTTCTTTTCCCTCCCCTTCCCAGCTCTCCACACCATCCCCAGCTGTGTCCAGGTGTGTCCACCTTCCCTCAATACCCACACATTTTTTCTTCTTTCATAAGGTGCCCCTCATTAACACAACTCATTGTCCTGCTGTTCTGTATTTTTCTGTAGCTGTTGGACAAAATTTGTTTATAGGATGGGCTCACGACAGTAACAGAACAGGATAGGCATGAGAAATCCTCCCAGCTGAGGAAGAAATCGCTGTGGGACTAAGTGCTCAGCTGGTTTTCAGCACACACCTTCCCTTGGACCAGCTGTTTCACATCTTGGCCCTGGGCTGTGCTACCTGCACAACACGATGGGCCTGCCCCATCACAGGTGTTGTATCAGTTGTGTGGGGTGGTAACAGATGGGAGCTACTGGCTTGTGCATCTGGGTGAAAAAACAGCTGCTGAATCATTTCTCTCTGTTCTTCCCTCGCCCAGGCTCTGTGTATAGGGCCTGCAATGACCTGGACATCTGGGTGCTGGGACATCTGCAATGAGGGGACATCTGGAGCAGGTCAGACCTCCTGGCAGCACGGAAAGGATCGGGACTTGGGAGAACCTGTCATGTGAGACAGGACTGCTGGGCTTGGCTTGTTTAGTTTAGCAAAACAAAAGCCCAGGGGAGGATGTGACAGCTGTCTATAAATACACTTGGGAGAGAAAAGAGCTATTTCAGCCTAGGGACAATGTTGGCGTGAGAACAAATGGGCATGAAGCAGCTATGAATAAAGCTAGGATGGAGAGCAGGGAAAGGTTGTTAGCACTTGGAGCAATGAGCTCCCTCCTAAGCAGGAGAGGAGGAAAACAGGTGTCAGTAAGAGACGGAGTGTGTTTGTCTTGCAGAAGGATTTTTATGGTGTTTTTGCTTAGAATTGCAAGTGTCAGCAGTGCAGGAGGTCCTCCCTGTCCAGGCTGGGATGCTGCTAGCAGGTGCAGTGGCTAGGCTGAAATGAAATAGAGGTATTTCTTTTAAGATTTTTGAGAGCAAAATGGACTCTAATACCCATCTTATCTAACCTCTCCCAGTGCAGCGGGTACCTGTGTCAGCTTCAGGGTTTCTGGCATGAACACGTCCTTATTTCAGGCAAAGGCTTGAAATGATGGGGAATTCACCATCCCTTGGGAACCTGCTCCTCGGGGTGCACACACAAAGCTCTTTGCACTCAGGGACAGCCCCGAGCAAGCAGGACATGGCACAAAGTCCCATCCCGCATCTCTGTGCTCTGCAATGTCCTTTGTAATCCGTCTGCGATGCCTCCTGCAAAATACAAGGACACTGTGACTAGGAGAGGTCAAAGAAGCACTCTGTGATATTTCCTGTTCTGGTGTTCATTAATCTGGGCAGTGGTCACAGCTGCCAGCTGCAGGGACGCAAGGACGCATGCACATTTCCTGCCGTGCAGGTGGAGGGGTGAGGTCCAGTATTTCCTAAAAGCTTGTTCTGCAGCAGCTCTGCACAGTGGCTAAAGGAAGGGCAGGGTGAGGAGAAAGAAACAAGGCAGTTTCTCCAGAAGCTGATTTATCAGGCACTGTTTGTCAGCTGGGAGCTGCTTCTGCCTGCTCTGACCATGACGCATGGGGATGGTCACAGTCAGACAGGGGTGGTATTGTCGCTGCATATGTCAAGGTCAGGAAATTACTTGGACTTTTAGTTTTTTTTTTTTTTTTTTTTTTTCTTTTTCTTTTTTTGGCCATTCAGCCTTAGAGGGTGTTTGCCAAGCTCTGTGACTCTCCCAGGACAGGAGCATGCAGACCTGCCTGCCACCTATTTGATGATGGCTTTTGCTCCTCAGCTGCTGCCCACAGAGTGGGACTATGCATGGCCAGTACCACCCTGCAACCCCAATTGTTCCTCAGCTGTGCTGACACCTTAAAGCCCAGCAGCACCTGGGACTCGCTGGCAGTTTTCCCTCCCTGGGATTTCTCAGAGAAGCTAGAAGGAAGCATTGCTTGGAGGATGTCTCCAGCCTGGGAAATGGCCATTTCAGGAGGAACGGTGCATCTCCGTGATGAGACGACCCAGTGCTGATGGGATAACAGTCTAAAAAGGGCCAGGGTTGCAGGTGGCACATACTCTGGCCAAAGCATGCCAGGGAATAGCTGCCCCTCAGCTCACTTAAGGACATGGACAACATTGTGGTGTTTCTAGTGTTTTGGGAAGATTAGATTTTCATCTTTTTCTATGTATCTTTACACAGAAAGTTTAGAGGATGTCAGTCTTGTGTTTCTGGAAGACGGCTAAAAAGGAATGCCTTGTACTAATTATGTTTGTTTCCCAGCTGTTTCCTTTTGAGATAACAGCTTCATGGAGAAGGCTATCAAGGGAGATGCTAGAGCATGGCTAGGAGCAGACACGTTGTGGATGAGTGTAAAAATGCCCTGCGTGATGACAGGAAGGTCAGGAGTGCATTGTGCCTCTGCTTTCAAATGTGCTGAAATAAAAAAAAAAAAAAAAATAATAACAATATTAATAAAAAAGAAGGATTTCTGATTTGGTGGGAATCAGTAGCCTGGGAGGATGTAACGTTTCCTTGCTTGAGCAGGGGGGGGTTGGACCAGATGACCTCCAGAGATCCCTTCCAGCCTCTACCATTCTGTGATTCTGTGATTTTACAAATGCTAGGCAGAACTCTGGTGATATTTTTCTCCATTTGAGTTGCATAAAATTAATGTATTAGTTAGTAAAAAAAAAAAAAAAAAAAGAGCAAATAAATACATCTTTATAATCTTTAAAAACAAACAAACTAACACAGATATAGGTAAGGTTAGTATGGATCTGACCATGGAGCACAGCCACTGTAGCCGTGTGGCATAATCACATCACAGAAGCCATGAGCAGAAGGGTTCTCCTTTTCTGTTTCCAGTGGAGGCTAATGCAGGGAAGACACTCAATTTATTTTGACCAAAAATATTAATATCATTAAAGAGTACTGTCTGTATTTTCCAGGAGACTAAAAAAAAAACAGAAGATCATTTACCTAGCAGCAAGACATTCATTGCTATATATATATTTGATGATTTGTCTTTATTTTACATTTGCAAAATTATCTGCACTTTTCTGTATGAATTATCTGCACTTGAACTGTATGAAGTTCAACAAGGCCAAGTGCCGGGTCCTGCACCTGGGGCGCAATAACCCCAAGCAGAACTACAGGCTGGGAGAGGAATGGTTGGAGAGCTGCCAGGCAGAGAAGGACCTGGGAGTGATGGTGGACAGTCGGCTGAATATGAGCCAGCAGTGTGCTCAGGTGGCCAAGAAGGCCAACGGCATCCTGGCTTGTATCAGAAACACTGTGACCAGCAGGGCTAGGGAGGTGATCGTCCCCCTGTACTCGGCTCTGGTGAGGCCGCACCTCGAGTACTGTGTTCAGTTTTGGGCCCCTCGCTACAAGAAGGACATCGAGGTGCTTGAGCGGGTCCAAAGAAGGGCGACGAAGCTGGTGAGGGGCCTGGAGAGCAAGTCCTATGAGGAGCGGCTGAAGGAGCTGGGCTTGTTCAGCCTAGAGAAGAGGAGGCTCAGGGGTGACCTTATTGCTCTGTATAACTACATTAAAGGAGGCTGTAGAGAGGTGGGGGTTGGCCTGTTCTCCCATGTGCCTGGTGACAGGACGAGGGGGAATGGGCTAAAGTTACGCCAGGGGAGCTTTAGGTTAGATGTTAGGAAGAATTTCTTTACTGAAAGGGTTGTGAGGCACTGGAACGGGCTGCCCAGGGAGGTGGTGGAGTCACCATCCCTGGAAGTCTTCAAAAGACGTTTAGATGTAGAGCTTAGGGATATGGTTTAGTGGGGACTGTTAGTGTTAGGTTAGAGGTTGGACTCGATGATCTTGAGGTCTCTTCCAACCTAGAAATTCTGTGATTCTGTGATTCTGTGATTCTGATCCCCTGAAAATGCTGCAGGAAACTCTGTCCTGAAGGCCTTTCCTCAGAACAATTGCAGTTTTTCTTGGACCAGACCATCTCTTGGCCTCCTGATTTCCCCTGGAGACTCAAGTCACCTCCTTTGCCCCCTTGTTTGTGTTGGTCAGGGTGTGGAAGATACTGAGGAAAGTCAGAAAATGCAGAGCTGCATCTGTTCCCAACCCTCTCTAGGAACGAACATGCAAGCTTAGAGGGTGAGGGCTACTGGGCCACTTTGCTGGTTGACCTCAATGTGCTGCAGTTCTCCTTGACCACAAGAATTTAAATGGGGAGGAGAGATCCTGCCAGAATAACCTGGGGCAAAGACAGACACCCAAGAAGGTGCCAAGCCAAGCAGTGTGGGATAGCAGCAAAGCATCTGCCAGCAGAGAGAGCACCGGGAGCCCACTCATCGCAACCCAATAAGAACGAGCACTCCACAAAGTAAAGTAATGTGTGAGCCAAGGAGGCTTAACTACAGCTTGTGGAACTGGGTGAGAAGCAGGTTGGATGTGTAAGGCAATTTAGCATAAACTAGCCACGGCTGCTGTTGATATTGCTTCCTACGATCCGTCACGATGAGGTTGTGGTTGAGTAATTCAGCAAAAGCTCCAGCTCCTCTCACAAAACAGAAATCAACCATCACTGAGTATTAATGGAGTGAGAAAAGTAATTAGGTCTAATTTCAAATGTCTCAGCCAATTAAGTAACAGATGTGAGAAAAGCGGTGTAATTTAGCTCTGCTCATCAAAAATGAAATTGTCCACACTAACAAACCTCATGCTGAGCCCCTGGAAGGCTCATGCAAGGCTCCTTTGGGGAAATACACAGGTTGTGCAAAGGTGTCAGGATCAAGTGCACCTTCTGTTTTTCTTGTTCATAAAATTTTGTCTTTCAGGTTTCAGTGTTTTAAAGCTTGGCTCTGCCCTCAGGCATTCCCAAGAAACCAAGTTAAGCCTGGCCAAACCAAGAGCTGTCACCAGGTCTGAGAAGAAGCCTTCAGTTCATAAACGGGAAATACGCTCCTCAAAAGGCAGGGTGTAAGCTCAACCTGCCAGAGCCCACCTCACCACTCACTCCGAGCCAAAATTTACAACACTGTTTGCAAACACAGGACCAGATCCGGGCTTTGAATGTGCATGAGCTTCATGTGCAGTTGTCCCACTGAATTTTGTTATGTGGGAGTCAGGCCCATCTAAGTAAGGCTAGCAGCCCTCCCCGATGTCCATGCTGGAGTTGGGCCAGCTCTGCTGCAGTCTCAGATATCACACTGGCTCATGTGATATCTGATATCATCACTGCTTTCTCCTGCTGTATCCAGGTGAAAGCACCTTGGACGTCATGGAAGTCCTATTGCAAGAGGCAAGGGCCAAGGTGCAAAGCTGCAATGGAAAGTGTCGAAAGCCTGGGAGCACAGGAGCTGAGTGTGAGGAAGAAATACGTTCCCTGTAGCCTTCAAAGAGATCTACGGGCTATAACCAGCAGTTCATGGGGTCTGTCACTGAATGAATGACAGGCTGGTGGGCTAATGGAGTATTTCAATACAAGCCTGGATCGGGTCTCACATCCACACCTCTCAATCACTTGCAAGACCCTTGCTCAGGGTAGATCCACCTGGAGCTCACCATGCCAATGAAGATTTCATACTCATTTAACAGCATCTGTGTTTCTTTGGCTGCAGGAAGGGTGTTCATATCATGGATTTGTAGATGATTGAATGAAAATTTGTGTAGCAATATCAGGCCAGTGTTCACTCTGCTGGTGGGGTCACCCAGAGGCATTGGGTTTGGGAGACTGCTTGGAAATGGGTGAAGGCCCCTAAAGAAATACCACATTCACCTCTGAGGACTTGTTGGTTAAAAACAGCTAATAGCTGCTGTTGACCTGTGCTGGGTTTGAAGCAGTGACCCAGAGATGAAAGCCTTCTGTCCTAGTGCCAATCCTTTGACTCTCTCTGCTGTAACAATAAATATCCCCCAAATCTCTTGGAACTCCCAGCAATTATAGCCTTAAAATAAACTTTTAGCACAGGCTAGTAATTACTGAATGTTTCTTATTGTTTCCCCTCTGGGAGATGTGTATCCCTCAGGAAATGAGTTTCTAATTAGATAGGAGAAGCAGGGCAGCAACAATAGTGTGGGAAAGCTAAATTAATAAAAGCTCCTAGGTACACTCTGACCAACCTGGACAGAGAAGTGACAAATGATGACTTGCCTGGACCAGAGGATTTTAACTTCGTGTCTTCCTGGGAGATGCCTGCACCAGCTGTGCCAGAAAAGATGTGATTGAAGGAAGAGAGGGAAGGAGTAAAGATGTTTTTAGAGACCCTGGTAAAAATCTGCACAGAGCAGTGCACAGCAATGCTTAAAAAAATAAAAATAAATCCCAAATCATGTGATACTGGCATCACCTTCTGCAGGACCTTGCCTACTAATTTGTGTGGGTAGATTAACAAAATAGGCATGCATCCTCTTTCCTGAGGTGCTAAGCTAGTTCATTTCAGAGCCCAATATTCCTTTTACAGACAGAATTTTAGGGATTCTGATCTGCTTTACAGTGCCTGCCCTCTCACTGAACAAGTGGGCTGAAACATTCTCCAAGCACCGTATGGCTCAAAGAGACCAGGACCAGTGATTCACATCCTTTTGGATGTGAATTCTTGTGATGGTTCAACAACCCAATTCAGTTCCATGTCTGGTTTTGTTTTTGTGAGTGTAAGAGATGTCCTCTCCATCCCTTGTTTGTATTTGTGTCATTTCTTGCAGAGCACATCTTTTATAAACTTTGGGAATGTGAGCAATTTGTGCATTGGAAAAATGTCTCAAACCTCCTTCATGCAACAGTGGTATCCAGAGCAGAAAACTTGGTGCAAACACACTCAATCCCTCTGGAAGTGGAATGTAAGGGTCTACACCCACACTCACGTCATGTCCTGATCTCTGCTGCTGTTGAACACCAAAGTCTTCCAGCTGCATCTTGCTGGGCAAGATGAGGGTTTCCTTGCTCATAAACTGTCCCTCTGGGTTTGAACTAGTTTGCTGCAACAGAAGATGCACCCATGTATGAAATGTGCCCTAGGATGGGAACCAAAATACGGGTGTTGTGTACCAGATCATGCATGCTACTGTCCACAGCCATATCCCAGGTCTGGAAGAATGGATGGCCAATATCTGATTGCTTGTGGGAACTACTGAGGAGTCTTCTTGTGTAATCTGCTCAGGATTGAGGATCAGAGACATGAGGAGCAATGGAGAAAGTAGCATAAACAGCAATGAGTAAGTCTGGTAGCCTGTTCTGCTTTGTTGTTGCTGCACAGGAGGAGTTTTCATGCCTGAGCTCCTGGGAGAAAGGAGGCTACTTTTCAAGATGTGCAAACTCAATTGCTTATGATCTTTGGTAGCTACTCCCATATACCCTGTGCTGGGGTAAGACTTCTCCAGCATATAAGTAATGGTTTTGTCTAACCTAGCTGCAAGTAGCTTCCAGCAATAAACATCTGCAGCGTCCCTCGAGAACCTGTTTCACAACCAGTGGGATGTTGATATATCCTAGCATACAGCCAGGTTTTTCGACACTGCTATGTACAAGTACAGAGGGTTGGTCTTCAGGAAGGAGAAATTATTTGGAGTAAGATAAGACATTAACTCCTGTACAGCAGAAATGGGAAAAGCAATGGAAAGAAACACTGAAAGCTGCCCGCTGCATTGATTTGTGTTGTTGTTGTTGTTTCTAGCATCCTTCTGACTTGTGGTACTAGCCTCATCTGTTTAATGGGTACCAAAAGTAACTCAAATTTAGCTGTGATTGGTTTTTCTCCCTCCATGTTTTCTGTTCATTAACACCATGCACAGAATAAAAAGAAAGCAAGATATACCTGTATAGAAAAAAGGTATCTCTCTGTCCATTTTATCCTGGAATATTATTAACTTATATAAGAAAGTGTTATGTGATGGCAAGTTGACCCATAAAGATGCTTTAGGACACGTCCCCTTCCACCTCCACCCTGCAATGTGGACCACCTGCCATCCTTTGTTTCACTAACGCTGGAACTAAAGCTGCATCAGGACCACACTTGGCAGAGCAGGGCTTGAAGCATCCGGCTTTCACATCCTGCCTCTATCCCACCGGCCTTTTAGCTTTTGGTTTCTGTCTGTGCAGTGCTCAATCCCACACAGGGCACGCCTCATTTATTAAGAAGAGACAGGAGCAGATCTTTCAAGAGAGCGTGCTAAGACTACCACTTACCACGCTGGCCCCTATTACCTCCTTGTGTGATCTGATATCTCGTGCTGTGTATCTGTCATTTCTTTTGTACTTAGATTGTCAGCTTCTTGCACAAGGACTGCATGCATGCTCTGCATCTGCAAAGCACTCTAGAACATAACAAACGATAAGATATCTGATCGACATGATCAAAATCAACAAATGTCTTGAATTTACCTTTTATTAAATTCATTCTGGTCCAAGTGTTACATAATCCTAGGCTGTAAAAGTAGCAGTTCTTAGAAGGACCAACCTCCTTGAACTATTTTCCCCTCTTGTTAACAATTTCCATCTCATTTCCTATTTCCGGCTCTAACTCCTGCCGATAATGCTCCTCAGCTAATATTGAAACCAAGAGGGAAAAATATATGAATAGTAGACATCCGATCCAAGCTTTGTGCAGAGAATTCATGGATGGAATGTTCTTGAGAACAAGAGGGGTTTTTAAATAGTAAAAGACTGCTTGTTAAGGAAGAAAATTTGCACTGACACCTATATTCGGTACTGCTGACGTTTGTTCCCACAGTACTCCTAGGTCAAATATAACCATCTTCTTGTGAATGTATTTATTTATTTTTTTTAACTTTTTTTTTTTTTAATTTTTATTTATTTAAATGAGAGGTTTTCCATGCAGACTACATCTGCACAGCAGTTTGCTCTGTGGCTGCAGCTCATATGGACATTGTCACGCTAGCTTAAAAGAGTAAATTGCAAATACCATAGCAGTCACTAAGTGGGTTTCTGATTTCACGCAACGCTGTCTTTTGGTTCACTATATTGGCTTGGGGTGCCCTTCCCTCCTTCCCTGGCTTCTCATTCTCCTGCACTGCATCAATTTTGTCAATAGTATTTTTTGCAGTCTCTCTGAACCACATCCAACCCTTTTACTTCCTAAAAAACATGTTTCCTGTGCACCTGATGTAGTTCTTGATGCTCAAATAGCTGTGGGGATGACAAGCTACAGATGCAAATAAGTAACCACAGTGCAAGGGGCAGACCCATCTTATTCTGGAATTGCAGCGAGAGGTAATCCAGAACCAGGCTGTCTGTTGCTGGTTGAGTTGCTATGTGCTTTTTGCAGAAGAGATAAAAGCAAATACTTTATTTATACAATACTGAGTAATCATGTGAGAGGTGGGTAAGGAAAGCCCTCCTTGAAAAGTGATCATGCGAGGGTCTCTCCGATGTCGCAGTTTCATAACCAAACCTACACTGGAAATGCATCAAAGAGGCATTGGCTATGAAAGAAAGGCAGGAAGGGAGCGGTCTGAGGAACTGCAGCTACACCAAGCGAGCTGAGCAGAGCCAAGGAATGTCCTCAGGCACCGCAACTCCATTGTGCTGTAAAACTGTCAGTCCCTCGCCAGCCACTGCACACAGCTTGGGAGTTAGCGGGGCTGGGGACTGGTCCCCATGACAGCTCAGATGTGGCCACCCTGCTCTGGAGTGTGAACACGGGTGGTTGTGTGCCAGTGGGCCTCCTTCCCATTCTGGGCACAAGCATCAGGATAGGCAATTGCTGATAGGAAGGGAAAACTTCATTTGGTGGGTTTGGTTTTCTGCATTAGTGCTCCGAGATTTCTCTGTGTGAAGGGAGAGGGCTCGTGCAGCTCAGAGGCTCGTATGCAGTTCTGGAAGTGTAATTTGGACTTTACAGAGCTGCCTAATCTCAAGTTATTTGCAGATCTGTCTCTCCTTTGTGTGCATGCCAGTGCATGCTTGGGGCTCAGAATTTCTTCCACTGGATCTGCAGCTAATCCAGGACAGGGCTGTGCAGGGGGAAGGGCAGTCCCACTTCTCCTGACATGCAGCACTCTGCCTCTGCTCCTGCTGGTGGCCCTGGCTAGCAAAAGCAGGACCCCAGGACATGTGATAACTCAAATTCTGGGTGTGCAATTTCTTCCTTCTGGCCCTCAGCTCTCTCACAAATAGTGTCTGCTGCTGACTTCAGTATAACCGCATTCAATTATTTGATTTTATTTATTTTTTTTAATATGTCCATGTTAATTTGGATCTTTGTGGAACATCTGCCTCCCCCAGGAGCTCTGCAGATAACACATCTTGCAGCAACAAGGGGACATTTTTCATTTTTTTTTTTTTTTTCACAAAGCCAGCTGGGTTGGGATCCTTAGGACAGAGTGAAAAAGCAGAGTTAAAAGGCACACTGAAGCTGGCAGTGTGACTTTTTTCCATGCCCTTCACAGTCCAAGGTGCCATAACCTTTCCCTCCATTGCTCCCAAAACAGACAGTTCTTCCAGCACTTTCCACACATCCCACTCTCGTTTTTTTTTGCGTACTTGTCAATTAAAGAGGGGCTTCAAGAATCACAACAACCTGAAAATAGGTGTGTTTCCATTACCATCTATGTGTTTTATTCCTATTCCCACATTGTCATCACTGAAGACACAGCAGTGAAGCAGAGATCATTTGTTGGGACCATGGTTTCTGAAAGCAAGCCTTCATTTAGGTGTTACTGTTGGGTGGCCCTCTTGGACTGACACAACCCTGTAAGAAGGCTTGGCTTCAACCTGAACAAGCTGTGAGCTGTTTTCCTATGCAGAAGGAGGTGGGTCCTTTGATCACAGTGCTTGAACCCAGGTTATTTAGAGCCAGAGGAGGTTGAGTATGATCTCCTAGTTTGTAGATAGAAGGCATGGAAAGTCTGGTCTTTGGGGAAACAGTTCCTGTTGCTGGAAACTAGAAAGTTCCTTTGATTTTCTTTGTATTATTATTATTATTATTATTATTATTATTATTATTATTATTATTATTATTATTATTATTTGGAAGTTCAAACACTAGTGAGTCTCATTCTGAAAATCAGCAATTCAGGCCAAAGTCCTTCTGTAGGATGATTTGTTTCCTCTTCTCATTTGCTTTCTGAGGAGCTTTCTGAGACTTCCAGAAAGCCTCCAAATCACTTCCCTTGACCAGCTTTAGGTTGCTGATGTGAGCAAGGTGTCCTGATCCCAGCAGATCCATCAGCACTTTATGGTGCTGATCCTTCAGAAAAGTTCAGTAGTGGTTAAAATAGGCTGTAGATTGGCTTTGGTAGCTAGAGAGGGCTCCTCCAAGCAGAAATCAGACAAGGCCAGGAGGGAAAGGCCATGGGCATGAGCTGGAAATGTGAGCCCTGGGTACTGGGCGAGGCTGTGACATCTGCACAAGGTTTGGTACTGGTACAGACCTACGGATCATCTCCTGCCACCCACACCATTGTTCCCTGTCCTCCTGAGCCTGTGGCAGCAGATCAAGGCAGTGATGGGTGGCAGAGTCTTCCCTGGAGCCCACAGTGTGGGAGGGAAAAGCTGGATGGAGTGTGAAGGAAAGGCCTGGGAGGCAGTGGAGGAGGAAGCTGCAGATATCGCTGTGACAAAGAGAAAGAAACTGGAGCTCCCCTGCTGCTTTGAGAAGGGCACGGGATGTTACATCTGGAGAACGATT